GTAAGCGGCGGCATTCCTACGTTTCCTCCTTCGTCGTTCCCAGGCCCATGGGGCTGCTGAGCGGGAGCAGCCCCAGCCGTCAAGCTCCTCATACCACCAGTCTCAAAAACAGAGCGCTGCAAACAGCACCCCTCCGCAGAAAGAACAGGGGTCGGGGCGATGCTCTCAGTCGTTATTTTGTAGAAGACGGCCTTGATTAAGCGGTCCTGGTCCCTTCGTCAGGTCCCTGAGGACAGCCCCACCTGGGGAGGAAAGGATAACACCTCAGTATACAGTGCACGATCTTCCTCAGTGCCGAGGAGATGTACTGATACCCCTGCCACCCTCGGTGCTTCAGGGCTTAGTGAGCTCCGACGAGCAAATTTCCCAGCTGCCGCCCGGAGATGGTACGGCACGGGAGAGCTCGTCCCCTCAAGTGAGGGCGCTACAGCAGTCAGGTCAGTCGTTTCCTGCAGGTTATCTGCTTCAGGGCACCGAACTGGCTCCTCTAATGACACCAGAGGCCAGACTCGAGAGGCTGGTTTCCTTAGAAAATTTTCTGGCAGCATGGAAATTTCTGCCAAACGTCTCAAAATGGGTCCTGCAGATTGTAGAGAGAGGCTACAGAATCCAGTTAGGTTCTTGTCCGCCTCGTTTCAACGGGGTCATTCCCACACTAGTGGGCCCTGAGCAGGCTCTAGTAATTGAACAAGAAGTAGATACTCTCTTGAGGAAGGGGGCCATAGAACGTATTCCTCCTCTCTCTCTCGGGTTCTACAGCCGTTACTTCATCATTCCGAAGAAGGATGGGGGGTTGCGTCCGATTCTAGATCGCCGTCTTCTGAACCGTGCTATCAAACGGCTTTGGTTCAAGATGATCACTATCAAGCAGATATTATCTCAAATCAAGTCAGAGGACTGGTTTGTTACGATAGATCTCAAAGACGCATACTTCCATGTTTCCATCCTTCCTCAACACTGGAAGTTCCTGAGGTTTGCTTTCGGGTGCGAAGCATACCAATATCGAGTTCTTCCCTTTGGCCTGTCACTCTCATCCCGCACTTTCACGAAGTGTGTGGATGCTGCTCTGGCTCCTCTGTGACTCCAGGGCATCCGCATACTCAATTACATTGACGATTGGCTGATACTAGCTCAATCGGAGTAGATGGCGGCTCGGCATCGAGAATTCGTCTTCGCCCATATGAGAAAGCTGGGGTTAAGACTAAATGCCAAGAAAAGAATGCTTTCTCCACTACAGAGAACCACTTATTTGGGCATGGAGTGGGATTCGACCACGATGCAGGCATGTTTGTCTCCTGCTCATATCGAGTCAATCCTCACGGCAGTCAAGAGAGTAAGAGAAGGCCAGTCACTCACTGTCAAACAGTTTCAAAGGCTGTTGGGTCTGATGGCAGCAGCGTCCAACGTGATACCTTTTGGCCTACTGTACATGAGACCCTTGCAGTGGTGGCTCAGGACCAAGGGATTTTCCCCGAGGGGAAATCTGCTTCGCATGATCAAGGTCATGCGGCGATGCTTACGTGCCTTAGACATGTGAAAGAAACGTTGGTTCCTGGCTCAAGGCATGATGTTAGGGGCTCCTTGTTGTCTCGTAACGCTAACGACAGATGCCTCTCTAATGGGCTGGGGGGCAGTCATGAGTGGCTGCTCTGCCCAGGGTCTGTGGGAAGGCCATCATCTCACGTGGCACATAAACTGCCTGGAGATGCTGGCCATGTTTCGAGCTCTGAGACAGTCTACATCCCTAGGTATCTCAATCAGGGGGCAGACATACTGTCGAGGCAGGGGCTGAGGTCCGGGGGATGGAGACTCCCCCCGAGGTGGTGGAGCTCCTTTGGAAGGAGATTGGCCAGGTGGAAGTGAATCTATTTGCGTAGCAGGAAACGACACACTGTCCGCTCTGGTTCTCCCTCACGCATCCAGCTCCACTTGGCTGGATGCCATGGTGCAGACGTTGGCCGAGGCTTCATCTGTACGCTTTTCCCCCGATCACTCTGCTCCCGAGAGTTCTGGAGAGGGTACGCCGGGATGGGGTCCGTCTGTTGCTAGTAGCTCCGTCCTGGCCGGCCCGAGCATAGTTCTCGGACTTGGTGTTACAGCTCCTGGCATCTGGTCTCTCAACTCCCGCCACAAGGAAACAGTATGCCTTGAACTGCCCAATTGGTACAGTTCTGGAGTTTCTGCAGGAGCGATTCTCCACAGGGTTATCTCCCTCCACTCTGAAGGTATACGTGGCGGCCTTAGCTGCTTACCACGCCCTTCTGGGTGGTCAATCATTGGGAAGACACCAACTTGTCACTCGTTTCCTCTGTGGCATCCTGAGGCCAGTACAGCGCACTAAGGTGCCCTCATGGGACCTGGCAGTGGTTCTGGAGGGCTTGTGCAATGCTCCAAGGCTTTCAACTTGGGTGTGGCCTTGCAGGACATTTGTGCTCTGGCGGGCTGGTCCCCTCCGCACACTTTTGTCCGCTTCTACAACCTGGACCTGGCATCTACCCCAGGGTCCCAAGTCCTCTCTTCGTGATGTGCTCAAGAGATACACACACAGGCAGGGACTTGTTAGTATGGCGCAGTGGGTATTCTCGTTCTCAAAGCTTTTCTCGACGCAGCTCGAGTTCCTGAAGGGGAACGTCCTTAGGTTACGTATGTAACCATGGTTCACTGAGGGAACGAGACACTGCATCTCCTTGTCATACTCCCTGCATCCCTGCAGGTCCTACTTCATCGAAGCTAACTTGCACTCTGGCGGATGGACTTTTATACTTCCTGGTTGCTCACGTCACCCCGCTCATGACGTCTCGCTGCTCCATTGGACTGATTTTACACGTGCTTCAGAACGCGGTCACGCAGGGGAATTCCCAAAGCATTTCTCAACGCAGCGTCTCGTTCCCTCGGGGAACCATGGTTACTTACGTAACCTAGGGACGTTCCTCTGGATGCCCATCCAGTGGCAGAAACAGAAAAGCTGGTAGAGAATAATTAGCGTAGCTGCTGTTCATAACATTTCAAGCAAAGAATGATCATATATAACTGGAGTACAAGGTTATGAGATTAAAATATATACTGCACAGAGATGTGCAACATTTTCACTGTGATTTGCTCTATTTGGATATTTTCAAAGAACAGATAGTGTTGTGTCCAAACATTACACACACATGTGAATGTAAGCATGTACAAACAGATGGGTGATAATAGAACAACAACAACATGAAGTGTTTTAGTAAGGTGCTGCTCCAGCACATGCTGCCAAATAAGCTGCCATAAGTGTTCAGTTGGGTTGAGATCCAGTGGCTGAAGGCTATATAAAATGATTCATATAATTTTTTATATTCATCAAATCATTCAGTGATCCCTGAATATAGAAATGCTTCATCATAGAGTATAGGTGCTCACACAGAACAACTGTATGTTGATTTGCACTGATTGTTCACTCTAAGGCCAGTAGAGTTTGATCCCTCTGAATCACAGAGCACCTGGATTTTCCTGAGGTGTGTATGTATGTTTTACATGCTGTTTGTTCATCATTGGATTCTGCCATTGCCTTGATTACAGCAACATCCTCATTTAAACACTAGAGGGTGCTGTTTTACCCAAAGGATTTGGTCTGACACTCTGATTTTGTAAGCAGTAAAAGGCACCTTTTACTGCTTACTAGGGATTTTTTTTTTGTGAAGCAGCATTAAAGCCACTTTTGATACAGCAATATTTTTGTTTGTTCTTTATTGATGTATTTTGATATGGAATGTGGTAATACTGAAGTAATGTAAAGGTTTTATGTGTTAAACATTTATACTCTCTCAGACAAATTGTATCTTTAGAGGTACAACAGTATATCAGATCGAGCTGAAATAATTAGGGATCAAAATAAACCTCATCTGCTCTAAACATGTGGTAATAAAAGCTGTGACTGTGAAGTTTTTGATCTGGTGTGACAGTCTTGTGAGTTTGGTAATTATTGTTGGTAATTGTAGTGAAGCAATAATGCAAATCAAGCTCTGTGACATCTGTGAAATTCTATTATTGTAAGACTGAGTGAATATGGGTGAAACTTTATACAGCTGTCCAGTTCAACAGTAATCCCTTTAAAAGATGTTTGTGAATTAAACACGAGACAATGTTCTTCATCATTACAGTATGATACTGACTACAGTATCTGGTGCATCAATCAATGTTTTTAAGTTTGTTGTTGTTGTTTTTTAGGTTTATGGTCTTTTTCTTTTCTTTGAGTTGTATTTCACTCATGTTTAACATTGCTTTGTTCAGGGTATAAAAGGGAGAAGAAGATTTTCTACAAAGTATGTTATTATATTCTACTGTCTAACATGTATCTTAATAAATGACTTTACCTGCTTTAAAAGTGTTGAGAATCTGTCCTTCATCACTGATGTGCTGAAAGACAAAGTAACTGTGACTTGTTCAGAATTGCAGCATAAGCCTCCTGTCTCACATTACCTCAGAAAACAATCACTTCCTCCTTCAGTTAAAAAAAAAGCACAACGTATTGCTTAAATATGTGTTAACAAATAGAACTGATCTAGATCTGTGTTATATACACTGTTAACTCATGCTATGGCATGTAAACCAGGAAGAGACATGATTTGTATTTACATTTGTGTAAAGAACTTTTATTGTAATATGCAACTGTAATATGGTAAAAATTAATAATTAATCAAAAGCATGCCACTGTAGCTGTTTATAGAGGTAATATTGTAAAAAAAAAAAAAAAAGATTATGGACTCACAGATCTGTTCCCATTCAGCCAAGTTTTGTAAGCCAAGTGTCTATGCAAGCTAATATAGATCACATTGATAAAGTACACTGGGAAATCATGAGGATTTACATTACTCTTCATTAAAATTTGATCATGATGCAACAAATGCTTGATCTGATACAGAGGCTATTATTCAATGCTTTTATATTTCTCTAGAAAGGAAGTGGAAACCCTTTGTGGTTTAGTGTCTCTGCATTGTGCTGAAACCTGTAGTTTGATCGAGACCGTTACGATCGACAGACACAATGGAGAAATCGGTTTTCTTCTTCTGTGTGTTTTCATGTTGGATTATGCAAGTCACATCCAATGGTAAATATACTCTATTTCAGACATTATGAAATTAAATAACTATTATTATGAGCATGGTCTAAAAGGATCTGTTTTTATAATGTCTCTCCAGATGCGTCAGTACGAGGGTCTTATGATCTGCTGAGGGTTCAGATGGGAGAAAATATCAGTCTGAACTGCAGCATGAGAGACCGATATGAAGTCGCCTGGTATCACCTCAATTCTGAAAAACTAGATCTATTGATTTCTGTGAAGAAAGACAAAACTGGAAGAAATCTCCTGACCAACTATGATCCAAACAGCCCTCGTCTGAAACTTACTGCAGACACAAGGATCACCAGAGTCTCTCTAGATATTTCTGGAGTAACAGAGTCAGATTTGGGCATTTATTTCTGTGGAACAAAGTCTGATGCTCCAGAGATGTTCTTCGACAAACCCCTCAGACTAGAGATCGCGGGTAACAGATTTCAGTTTTTCCATCATATCTTTTCAAACTTGTTGTAGGGGGAATGGGTCAGATGAGCCACCAAAGACGATATCTGTACAAGATTTTTGTTTTAAGATACATGGATTTAGCAGCACATGGGTGGGATAAATGCTTTTATATGCTAAATGTATTTATGCTTAATATATGAATATATACAGTGGGTACGGAGTATCCAGTATGGATAAGTATTCAGACCCCCTTAAATTTTTCACTCTTTGTTATATTGCAGCCATTTGCTAAAATCATTTAAATTAATTTTTTTCCCTCATTAATGTACACACAGCACCCCATATTGACAGAAAAACACAGAATTGTTGACATTTTTGCAGATTTATTAAAAAAGAAAAACTGAAATATCACATGGTCCTAAGTATTCAGACCCTTTGCTGTGACACTCATATATTTAACTCAGGTGCTGTCCATTTCACAATCATACGCTGCTAATCAAAACACAGTGATTTTTTTTCCCTTGTTCTGAAAAACTAATGATAAAGGCCTTGAAATGTCATTATGTATGATTTCTGTATTCTGTTGCATAAAGAACAACTTAAAAGCAACAAAAGCTCATCTTAACCCACTCTCCCATATACAACTAACAACTAAAAACATTTTGTGTGTGTGTTTAATGAACTGATCATATATTTACAGGTCTTTCTGTAACAGAAAAGCCTAAAGAAGTTGACATCACAGGTAACATGTTGGTTGTTATCTTGGTAGTTCATTTAATTTTTCATGTTCTAACTCTGCTGCGGAGATCCAGCACAAATTCTAGTTATCAGTTAACACTTTTCAGGTTGTACAAATCTGAATAGTTCTTCTGTCTCTGTCTCTCTGTAGATGGAGTGACTACGATATATACAGTGGGTACGGAAAGTATTCAGACCCCCTTAAATTTTTCACTCTTTGTTACATTTTGTGTGTGTTTAATGAACTGATCATATATTTACAGGTCTTTCTGCAACAGAAAAGCCTAAAGAAGTTGACATCACAGGTAACATGTTGGTTGTTATCTTGGTAGTTCATTTAATTTTTCATGTTCTAACTCTGCTGCGGAGATCCAGCACAAATTCTAGTTATCAGTTAACACTTTTCAGGTTGTACAAATCTGAATATTTCTTCTGTCTCTGTCTCTCTGTAGATGGAGTGACTACGATCGAGAGGGCATTGATGTTTGGTGGTGTAGGTCTGGCTATTGTTGTGTTTTTTCTGGCTACAGTCATTGCAGGAGGAATCCTTCACTATCGCGGCTGGCAGAAAGGATGGCGCGCAGCCAAACGCTCATCTCTGATTCAGCACAAATCATCTAAATGACACATTTGTGTGCTTTATTTTACTGTCTGAGCTTTGCACTGCCAGTTAAATGAGCACTTCTGTAGGTTACCACAAACTAAAACAGAACACTGTGGCCTAAATTCTTTTCCTGTTGACCAGATCTATACTTTCACTTCAGAGAAACTGAGATGTTTTGGCAGATGTCACCTTTTTCAGCCCCAGTGAATCATTAATTGTTGTGGTTGTTATTCAGGTTTGTGCAGTTTATTTGTGCTTGTCAATAATATTCAGTTAAATATAAAAGTGCTGTTACTGCTACTGTTTTTAATGCAACAGTTCAATATCAATACACAATATTTAAACTGGAGTTGCATGTTTTAAGCATTTTTACTTTAATATAAAGACTGAGCCAAAGTCCTTATTAAAAAAGAACAGCAAATAGCTTCTGTCACAGCCAATGCATGTGCTTTAAAATCATTAGATCAGCAGGTCTTGTGTTAAAAAAAGTGACAGGTTGTATGTTTAGACATGATATATTTATCTAGACTAGCATTAATATGTACATGTAAGCTATTTTCAAGAGAAAATGTAAATCTCTTCTATGGCACATAAATCTTGATTAAATTAAACTGCGAACAGATTAATGTTAAATGTATTATTTAGAGTTCAAAGCAGTAAAACTGAGAAACTGTGTGTTTGTGCATTTTCTGACACAAAACCGGAACATGCCATTTCTCTTAAAACACAACCGTCCCTTAAACTTACAGAAAAACGGGTTTCAACTCTTTTCAAAAACAAGCTGAGGTTAAGAGATTATGTTTTTTTTATTGGCACATAAAGCTTGATTAAATAAAAATATGTTCAATGATAAATGTGTTGTTGAGAGTTCTGATGAAATAAACAGCAGTAAAACTAACACATTTAATGTATTTGTGCATTCTCTGACCATATGAACCTCTTCAAACACAGCGGTATGCGTTCAGTGATGTCAGATCTGCCCTCACAGTTTCAGAAGAACAAGAACAAAAAAAAAAGTTTCACATCATGCTACACAGTGAGCAATCATTTCCTGACTGAATGCGTTAAAATCATACAACTAAAACCACAAAAATATGAGGGGAAAACAAACTGACTCTCAGGCATGGCATTGTCACTGACACAAGAGAGTGTTACTTGTGCTAAGAAAACACTATGTTTAGACAAGTCTAATAGAATGAAAACATTAGTAAGAGTTCAAATCACTGGATATATAGGAAGACGAAGGAATATGCTCTCTTAAAGGGGTCATATGATGTTGCTAAAAAGAACATTATTTTGTGTATTTGGTGTAATGAAATGTGTTTATGCGGTTTAAGGTTCAAAAAACACATTATTTTCCACATACTGTACATTATTGTTTCTCCTCTATGCCCCGCCTTTCTGAAACACGTCGATTTTTAAAAAGTGGGGATGTAACGATTACCGGTTTGACAATAAATCCTGATAAAACACCCCACGGTTAGTATTACCGTTTCATATTTTAATTATGACTATAATGTATTCGATTACCGCGATTTGAGCAACTGAGGGTAATTAAATACTGTCCAGCACAGGGCTCCAGAGTGCGACCAAATGGGCCATTTCTGTTGCATATGAGACACATCAAACGGCAAATGAAACTGAAGGCATAACGAAACCGCGGTACTCGTTTGAACTGCACAGCACTTATAGTTTATACTCGCCGCGTCAGCAGGAGCGTGAAGCTGGGCGCAGCAAATATGAGTTTGAGGAAACGATGGATGAGTTTCATGCTAAAGTAAAGTTAAAGACTGCTTCTTAAACCAATGAAGGTGAACATGTTGGTATTCTTGTGGGGGAAAAAACATGCAAGCACTGTCACCGACAGCAAGTTTAGTTTTACTTTTCTTTTTGTTTTCATTTTGAAAAGCTTAATTATCTTTACTGTTCATGTTATGCTATGGAGGTTTTCTTTTTTATTTATTTGATTCCTCAGTGTTTGCTAAACATTCTGTAATTTATTAGTCTGTATATAATACAGCATGTGGTGTATGCCATGCCTCGTCTTATTCGTTTTTGTTAATAAAAGTTTTGTAAGCTAGTTTGTCATTGTATCTTACTGTTTTATTGTTGTTATGCTTTTTAATTAAGAATAACAATGAATTAATCTTTTGTTTTAGTCTTAAAAAGTTGTAGGGCCTCTGTGAACAGACACAAATGAACGATTGAATCTCCGCATTCCACTGGAAAAACGAAGGTCTCCTCCCAACCATGTGAGAGTCGTAAAACTGAACCATGGTCAGCCCAGGCGCCAATTGTCTCAAATAAATTCCTGTCCCGCTCAGCTTATCTTTACAAGAAACACAAGGAGAGAGTGATTTACAAAACCACCTCCTGGGTCGGCAAGCACTAAGACAGCAATAACTGACTCCCTGCATCTGGACTCATTTAAGCAACAGAACGTCAGTGTTGTCTCGTGACTGACTTCAGCATAAATAAACTATCTAATAACCAACAGAACAAATAACCTGGTATCTGGAAATGTTCAAGCGACAGACACTCCTGGACCCATGACCGTTTAACGCATAAATTGATAATCCGATAAACAGAAAGCGACAGATTAATAGCTCCATGTCCGAGCGAGAAGAATGGCAGATCTCCACCCGTGACATTGTCATGACCTCAGGACATCTCCTCTTTTCTCCCTGCATTCCAAAAGGGATGCACCCTTTTCTCTCCTTCGGTCAGACAAAGGGACATAAAACTTACAACAGACAATTTCAAAAGACAATCATTTAAGTATAAACAGGGCAACTATATCCACAAATAATATGTTTGTTGTCTTATATACGCTTGTTGTGTTTAGTGTAACCTATGACGTTTAGTCAATGTTTTATAACCCCTTTTAGTAGATAAAAGTATTAATGTGTATGCAAACTACACGATATTTGAGTTTGAATGAAAGCTTGCTTTATTCGCCGAACATTGGTGTGAATGAAAAATTGGTATCCGGCATCATTTCTGGTGATAATATTGTTTGTAAGAAGTTATTAAACTTGCAGAAATACTCCCTACGGGAAACATGTGATCAGGGAACAGTGCGGGGCGTGGCTAAGCCTTGCAAGTAATGTCTGATTGGAACAACGATCTGGGGGACGGACTTATGCAGCGGATCAAAAACCCAATGCAAGACAGATTCAGTGCCTTTTTGCCTTTGTGTTAATCGCGCTCCAACTTGCGTTCACAAGCTGCACCATCAAGCGATCGGTCATCAAGAACTCAAACACTCCGTTGAAGCTTCGTGAATGCCAGAGATCTTCGAAAGCCTAAAGTCTTGCAAACTTAGACTCTCTCAGAAGAAATGCTAAAGCCTCTGCGTCACCAAGAAACCAACCAATCTCCGGAGGGCATTCCCAGAAACTACGCCATCCAGATGCCCAAATCAGCAACCAATCAAAAGCCGGGATTCCCTCAAGCAAGTAAGACAAATCTCTGCTTTGTGATTTTCTCTGGTTGGATTTAAAAGACTCGTGGAAAACGAGTGTTAGAACTTTGGGAATTTCATGCAAACTCTGTTAAAACCCTCATCCTTTTACCATATGTGTGTTTTCATTAGTTTAGTTTAATGTAATCTAAAATAGCCAATAAATTCTTGTTTCATTTATAAAGAAGTATTGTCTTGTGTCGTGAATTTAAAGTTAAACCTTGCCCAGATCTTAGTTACCTAGCTCGTAGCTTATAACTTATCAAAAGCATGTATTAACCTGTGGCCAGGGAGAATACAAATATTCAAATTGTTAAGATACACGGACGTTAACGTCTCGTTGGACGAACAGTTGATAAAGTGTAAACTATCAAATTTGAAATCAGTTCTAATCAGGTTGACTTCGAATCTTCAGATTCTATTCCTCTTAAAACCTGAGCTAAAATAATAATAATTAATTCCCTTACAAAATTAACTTTACAAAGTGAACGGTGTGTAGATGTATCATGTAAGAAAATCAGACAATGATCTTTTCTTGTAAAACGTGCTTTATTTGAACATTTACATTAGATATTTCAACATGCTATTAGATAAACTGTTGTCAGTCATGTTGCCATCTGGACATCAATCTGGACATCATTGCCAATGCTATTGTTTTAGTTATGCACACAACAACTCATTTTATTTGTTGTTTGTTGATTTTAAATGTAAAACTTGGACATGGCGGCGGCGGCAACAATACTACAGCATGAATAAAAGTTAAGCCTTCTTCTTTATTTGCGTGAACATTTGGGCGGCGTTATGCAAATCTTCCCACATAGTGACGTAAACGTGTGTTAGAACGAGCCGTTTTAGGTAGGTGTGGCTAACTCTTAACTTTTATAAAGAATATCTCTTTGGATTTGAGACTTTAGTCTTTGCAACTTTACAGATCTTCTTTATGCACCAAGAGCTTGTAACACTCCAAAGAGAAAGGAAAAATTTAAATCGCATCATATGACCCCTTTAACAATTTGAGAACAAAGTATAACATAATAATAATTTGCACGGTTTGATGTGATATGAGCTAACTGATCGTTACATTTAATCACCATTGGTAGCGCGATTTATTGTAATACGTTTTTCCTCAGTTGTTCAGAACAAACGTGGCAGACTTGTTACTTATGTGTTCAGATGACAATATCCAGTGAAAATTCTTATTTGATTCATCTACCCCAAGACGTATAGAATCTGTGATTCCTAAGTACAGTATCCACACGGTGCAGTGACTGACAACCACACATACTCGTAACGTAAGATGGCGCCGATGCTGATGGCTGCCTCCGTGGCGTGCTCCGCAGTTGTTTTTATGTTTTTGTTAGTTTGTCCTGTCTTTAGTTATATCCCTGCAATCAGTTTCACCAGAGACGAATTGCTGGACATTCGGAAGTACACACCACCCGATATTTCAGCGCGGATTCAGAACGCCGTTGCCGAGCATCCATCTAGCAAATCTCCGCTCTCTACCCAACAAAACGGACGAACTTCTTCTGCTCTCCCGGACAAATAAGGATTTTTCAAACTCTGCTGCTCTGTGTTTCACGGAAACCTGGCTGAAAGACGCCATTCCGGGATTCTGATACTCCTCAAACCATTTCATTCATCCCCG